TGACTGTTGACTGTGGGTCATAACAGTGACTGTTAACTGTGGGTCATAACAGTGACTGTTGACTGTGGGTCATAACAGTGACTGTTAACTGTGGGTCATAACAGTGACTGTTGACTGTGGGTCATAACTGATAACTGAGGGTGGTCATAACAGTGACTGTTGACTGTGGGTCATAACTGATAACTGAGGGTGGTCATAACAGTGACTACTGTTATGACCACCCACGACTGTTATGACCATAATATTTATTATATTTATATATACTATATTTATATATATGTATTATATATAAACCTCGTTTCATTCTCAGTTCCTGCCCTTGGAAGAGTTCGAAGAAATCTACAGCCTTTAAGAAACAAACTTCCCATTTATTTCCTCCTAATGCCAACATTTTGTAACCAATCAGATTAGCCAGACTGGGTTACAAAATGACTAGTAACAATCAATCTAAAACCTGCCCCCAGGGATCCATTTATTTCACGAGCATATTACATTGGATCTCTGTCTCTACTCACGCTCTCTCCATGCACCTTCCCCCTTCTTCCACCGGCAAGTCCTCGTTTATTTCACTTTAGTGTTGAATCATACATTTTATATGGTTGAATACGGACCGGTCAGGAACAAGAAATATATGTTTAGTTATGCCTACAATGTAACTATTTTCTATGACTCTTCCTAGGGCTCTTCTAAGAAAACACGGCACCCTAAATTATCGACAGATGACCAGTAACTCAAATATTACATAAAAATGTAATATTAGGTTGCATCACTTCACAAACTTCACAATAGGCTTCACAAACACAGGATCCTCGCATCTGGGAGGAGTGTGGAGGAGTAGCAGGGGAGAGGGGGGTGTTGGGGGGTTGTTGGAGGTTGGGGGTGGGGGTGTAAGAGGTGGGGGGAGAGAGGAGAAAGCGAGGCTGGCGTAGGTGACGTCAAGGAGGAAGCGTCTCTCTTGCCTCCAGCTAAGGAGATGACGTACATCCTGGTAGTTACTTTCTCTTCTTTTTGTGTCGAGAAACTTTCTCATCTTTTTATAGTGAGAAAGTTTCTCTTGACTTTAAAACTGGATGGAATAAATTTTCCGGATGTCGGATTGGTAGAACTCTTCTACTTACCTAGTTGGTTTCATATTTAAAGGAATTAGGTCATTCCTTAATGATGCGACCTATTAGTGAAATTTAAAGTAATGTAATTTTGTCGTTTTCTGCACTTCAGCCTCGGTAGGTTAGGGAAGTGACTTTGATTCAGACGTTCTGCGAAACAGCTGCATCCTAAACGGAGTGGAACAACACTTGGAGAGTGTTGCCTCGAACCAGAGATATATTACGGTTCAATATTATTCCTCAACTTTTAAAGTGGATACACAGAGATATAAAGTGGGCGAAGTTCTTTCTATGCACTTACTCAACTATTACAGTAGCCAGGTGGTCTGGGAGGCACGTTACCAGTGAGGGATAATAGCTAAGAGGCGCGGCCCAGGAGCTGCACTTCGTTCCTCACTAACACTTCTAGGTGGACATTAACAAAATACACGGGCGTGCACACACTTAAAACCACCCACACACACACACACACACACACACACACACACACACACACACACACACACACACACACACACACACACACACACCATGTTTTCATTAGTGATTGCAACTCCATACCTAATATTACATTTTTATGTAATATTTGAGTTACTGGTCATCTATCGGTAATTTAGGGTGCCGTGTTTTCTTAGAAGACACTAACGAAGAATCATAGAAAATCGTTACATTGTAGGCATAACTAAACATATATTTCTTGTTCTTGACCGGTCCGTATTCAACCATATAAAATGTATGATTCAACACTAAATTGAAATAAACAAAGAATTTTACTACCTTCTTTACTTTGGTTTTATTAACACTCGGGCCCATTTCCAAAAGGTACCGGGTTCGACTCCCTAGGCAGGACGGAGACGTTTGGACACGTTTCCTTATTCTAATTACAGTCTCCGTGGTGTAGTGGTAAGACACTCGCCTGGCGTTCCGCGAGCGCTATGTCATGGGTTCGTATCCTGGCCGGGGAGGATTTACTGGGCGCAATTCCTTAACTGTAGCCTCTGTTTAACGCAACAGTAAAATGTGTACTTGGATGAAAAAACGATTCTTCGCGGCAGGGGATCGTATTCCAGGGACCATAGGATTAAGGACTTGCCCGAAACGTTACGCGTACTAGTGGCTCTACAAGAATGTAACAACTCTTGTATATATCTCATAAAAAATTTTTTATTTGCAATGGGGAATCCCAGGGTTCCCATAACTATTAATAATAATAATAATATTATTATTATTAAAATGGTTTGTAAATTCTGGAAGAAACGGAATTTGCCGGTGAATGTATCATCAAGATGCCTGATTTTTCCTTAGAAAACAGCAGTTTATCAGAAAGAAGGAAAGGAAATGACGAGGAGAATGCGCTATAGTAAGGGATGGATAACATAACACGACGGGGAAGGAAAGATGCCCAACCACCTGAGATGAAACAAATCCACAAGGACCGTGATGAGGGTTCGAACCTACGTCCGGGATGATCCAAGAGGCGCCTTAGTCGACTGCGCCACGACATAGTTACATCACGGTTAACTAGATCACACACTGGAAGGTGAAGGGACGACGACATTTCGGTCCATCCTGGACCACTCTCAAGTCGATTGTGCCGTCCTGGACAATCGACTTGAGAATGGTCCAGGACGGACCGAAACGTCGTCGTACCGTCACCTTCTAGTGTGTGGTCTGGTCAACATTCTTCAGCCACGTTATTGTGACTCATCGCCTGCTTACATCACGCTATTGTGATTTGTGTGTGAGATGGAACGCCGAGCTGCAAGAAGCGTGCCCGTCGCAATACCGACAATCCAAGTGACCGAGCCATTTTCTAATTGACCGGGCCATTTTCTCAGCAGAAAGTGCATACTGGAATATCATTACCAAGGACACAGGACCCGTAGTCTCAGTATCAACTTCAGTCTTAACGGCCAAAGATCGCATACGTCCTCGAAGTGGATGTTGTGTCGCAGTAACTAGCGCAGTTGACTCGTAGCCAATTGGACACGAGTTCGATTCCCGGTCAGGGCGAATCGTTTCGAGCACGTTTCCTTACATATGATGACCGCTCATCTCTCAGTTGATAGAAGCCCGGGAGTTTAGGCGACTGTTGTAGAGAAAGTAGAGAAATAATAGAGTAGAGAAAGAGAGTAGAGTCATGTAGAGGAAGGTATACCGTTTACTTGTGGCCCAGGGAGACGTCGTAAACACTAACACGCTTTCCTGTCCTAAACAATGGGACATTGATGAGCACTAATCAGCCACAGCATGATAATGATTCGATGAATTGGATGCGCTAGGTCCGAGAATATGAGGTTAATGAAAGTATGTGAACCTGGCGGGGATTTTTATTGGGATATCAATATCATTGTTTTATTAGATGGTGGGCTTAAAATTATATTATTCTCGCAAGATTTTAAGGCCTCGATTAGCTTATTGAACACCAAGTATAATGTTAGTGATTTCAACTTTTAAATAGCGGAGTATATTACACCTTTCGGTCCCAGGGTCGAATATTTGAAAGGCAATTGGAAAAGAACGAATGCAGATTTGTTGGGCAAATAAAAAAATAATAAAAATTCAACCTTATTTAAACCTTACGAACTGTATTTATTCTTAGGGGGCCAAATATAAAAAAAATACTAGTAATTGTCATTCAGTCATAAGCGCTTGCCAACAAGATCATAATAAATTATTCTGGCAGCTTTGAGACCAAATTGATATTGCCAATCATTATTAAACCAAATCTGCTGGCCTCATCTACCTGTTTGATACATAGACAATAACATAGCTCAATTGACTCCCCCCCCCCACCCCGCCCTTTTTTTTAGGGAGATAAATTCCCCCTTGCTCTAATACCTTTCCACTTCTCGCTCGACAGTTTTCACTGCTTTTCTCTCCGTAGGTCTCGACCTTCTCTCTATCCATCATCCTTTAGGAAGTTTGACCTATGATTCTTTTGCGAGAACTTTTCAGTCTTCAGTGATTGAATAGGTACTAGTTAAAAAAATTCTATTAGAGCGAAGAACTTGGTATTCCGCGAAGCTCGTTCGCACTACATTACAGAATTGATATTTGAGGCTCCGTGAACTTTTAGAGAATTTTCAAATAACTTCGCATTTCAATAGCAGGTGTTAACGAGCCAGCATATGGAGCAAATTATGCCTCTTTAATATCCTGTGTTAATCGATATATCTGGGACACACACGTTAGGGCTTGGATGTTTTTCTTCTCTGGTATTTTTCTTTATCTTGTTCGCCAAAACATACTTCACTAATCCTCTCCTCCTTCCCTTCTTTCCTATTTTCCTTTTCGCTTCGTCCCTACTTTATCCCCAATCACATTCCACAATCATTCTCTCTCGCTCTCTCCTACCTCATTACCTAATCCCTTCATCTCTGCTGTGTTTCATATTCTTTTCCTTCCTATCTGCTTCACAAGTTCCTCTTTCGTTTCCACAGTCCCTCCTTCTGTTCCTCCCACGGGAAGATAATTATTTGGCATTTAGGTAGCGACAGATTAAAAAATATATAGATAGAGAGAGATGACCATTGCATTTGGTCTGGTCAATAAAGATACTATCTCGTTTGTTAATAATTAGACAAACCGGATTAGCCATTCTGCTCATAATTGCTTTTTAATAATAGATACCAACAACAATTAGGTTTATATAATTTATACATGTGTAAATGTGCTTATACGTAATTTTATGCATGCTAGTGTGTGTGTGTGTATTTTTTGTACAGTTTTATGTCTGCAATGCAAAGATGCAAACTCTCGTAAAGCAATTGTATTGGTTTTTCCTAGTGTTTAGTGCTACATAGCCTTCCCGGTTTGGTGCCTTCTTTTGATAATTACTTACTTACTTCCTAGTGTTTAAAATAATATATTTTGGTCTGTCTTTTTCCACAGATGAGACTTCTGGCGGTATTGGGCGCACTAGCGTTCCTGGGTATGGGAGTATCGGCCACAGAGCCGCCCGTCAGCCCCTGGCAGGCCCTCAACCCGTCGCTAGCCGAGAAAACGCCATACGAAGAGCCAGAAGACATTGAAGCAGAGGAGACCTACGAGCCATCCACCCTCGAAGCCAACGACACCACCTATCTCACACCTGAAGAGGAGTACCTCATCTCCAATATTCCTATTAAGCTGCCCTTCAAGATGGAGAAGAAGCAATTGGCAGTGGCTATGAAGCTCCTGAAGGAGGCCGCGAAGCCCATCATCAAGAGCAAAACGCTCCGGCAGACGGTGGCGTATTTAGACAGTGCGCTAGGCGCTTACAGTGAGGACCTGGAGCTACAGATGTATATGACCCTACTCTTTGACTCGCTGCAAGACCTGTATGAAGGCAAGGAAGCTGTCCAGCTCCACAAGATAATGAGAGGATTCTTTACCGATATCAGCGATGAGGTTAGTGGCTTTCACAGTGAAATTTGAGCTTGGGAAATGTAAATACAGCTTGGGAAATGTAAATACATCTCGGGAAATGTAAATACATCTTGGGAAATGTAAATGGAGCTAGTTAATTTTGCATGTGCTAGTGGAGTGTTTCAGATACCTGAGTGTAGATATTGATCTGTGATGTATAGGTGATGTTAGTGAGATATAAAGGGAGCTAGTGCAGCATGTATGTAGCTAGTGGGCGGAAAATGGAGCTAATTGAGTATAGATGTAACTAGTGAAGTGCTAAATGGAGCTAGTAGAATGTTGATTGAGCGAGGGATATGTGGATGTAGTAACTACGAAGGTAATAGAGCAAGAGAAGGGAGAGCTGGAACAAGAACAGTATATGGAAGTGAAGCATAAATCGATAGAGAGAGAGAGAGAGAGAGAGAGAGAGAGAGAGAGAGAGAGAGAGAGAGAGCACGTGCTGATATGACGGGGAAACCTAATGAAAGAGCTGTGGTTTGTCTTTATTGTGTAGTGGAAACACAAGACTTTCCCCATACGCAAGCACCATTCAACGATGCTCAATATACCAGTTTATGTGCGTACTTTTCGCACACTCACAAACACATACACACACACAACCTGTACACCTGTACACGCAGGAACCTGTACACCAGTTGATTGACAGTTGAGAGGCGGGACCAAAGAGCCGAAGTTCAACCCCCGCAAACACAACAACAAACACAACAACTAGGTGAGAACAACAACAACAACAAAATAACACGTACACACACAAAACGGAACAAAAAAAAAAAAGGCACACGTTCACAAGCACATAATTAACTATCACTCGCCCACAGGCAACCGCACGAGCCATTGACGATGTGTGGCGGTCGACCCTGGAGCTGGTCTACGACCCGGTGAGGAACTACGTCGTCCAGCCCGTCAACAACTACCTCGTCGGGCCTATCAGTACCGCCGTCAATGGCTTCGCTGAGCGCATCGGCAAATGGATGGGCAACAGAAAACACTACGTCAACGTCCAGTACCCCGAGTCCTACGCCAGGTGAGCTGAGGGAGTGTGTGTCTGGACTCATCTAGAGGCACTTAGAGCACAGGCTCGTACAGCCCCGCTCCTGTGCCAAGTAAGTCCACTATGGGCTCACCATAGCCCGTCCTACTTGGAACTTTTTGTTCCTAAAAGCTGAATCTTAAACAACAACAGCACAAGCTCGGCTGTCTGTTGTAATTGAGTCCTTCGAGCTAAGGCACAGTTCTTGTTGCACATCTCCGGACTTTATTTTATGTTCATTAAAGGCTGGAGATGCATATTCAGGGGTTGGTGTGACGTAGGTTGTTCTTTTAGTTACAGAAGGCTGCCTAACATCCGTCTGCCTGCCAGACGAATATTCAAGAGACACTATGTCCACTATGGAACACCTTCGAGGAAGTAGAGGAGAAAGAATGAAAAGAAATTTGAACTTTGAATAAACTCAGATCATTTAGTCAATGTATTTTGTATTCATTTTCTCAACAAAGAACAACTTCATGTACAACGCGTTGAATTGATTTTGCATTGTTCCAGGTAAACTGTGTATTAACTGTATTCCTTGGTGTTAATGTTATCCCTGTTTACTGTAGCTGGTTAACTGAGACACATGCAAGAAACGTACGAGACACATAATAATGAAGTCATTACGTATGAAGTAATTCATGAAGTGATGATTATATTTCCCTCAGATGGAGTGACGCAATGAGTTCATATGCCAGTCGCCTGTCTGACTGGACCAGCCAAGCTCGTCAGGGGATAGAACTGGCCGCCAGGATGCTGGAGGCACAGGACCAGGCCCGTTCCTGCGTCACTGACTGTAAACCTCACTCCGTCAGCGATGTTGGCTCAACTGCTGAGGTAAGGCACCGGGCGGCGGCGTAGAGTACGCGCAGGGCAAGTGATACGGTATTGAGTAGGCAGGGACCAGGTACACTATATTAAGTAGGCAGGGACCAGGTACACTATATTAAGTAGGCAGGGACCTGGTACACTATATTAAGTAGGTAGGGATCAGGTACACTATATTAAGTAGGCAGGGACCAGGTACACTATATTAAGTAGGCAGGGACCAGGTACACTATATTAAGTAGGCAGGGACCAGGTACAGGATACTGAACAGGGAGGAATCTCAGGAATACAATATGTGTAGAAGGCTCAGATCTGACTTGTCACCGACTGGAGAAGTTAACATCCCATTGTATTCAATAAAAAGAGATTTTGCCGTGACGGAAATTTTAGTAAAATTTCTTACAATTATCAATACCAGAGTAACGAAACGCTCACAGAAACGCACCTTAACACTAGTAAACATTTAAGGAGAGACAAGAGAATAAAACATATTTGTGAATAGCACGTTACGCTCAAGGGATTAGAATATATATATATATATATATATATATATATATATATATATATATATATATATATATATATATATATATATAGAGAGAGAGAGAGTTTAAAGGAGATAATTCTTTAAGCAACAAACAAAATACTCTAGGGTTATAGGTGTTTTAGTTAAACTAATAAGCAATTTCAGATAAAAAATATTTTAAATATTGGACATTATAAAAGATAAACATTTTAAAGATATGTAATCAAATTATATCCCTAAATCAAAATATTAAATTAAAGCTTCTCTGTTAAAAAAAACTCTAAATTGTTAAAAATAATTGCACATGTTTTCCTTTAAATAGATTATGCATGAAATGAATTTTTTTTAGATGCTTTAAATTAATTATTTTTAGGTTTCAGGTTTTCAAATTCTTACTCTTGTTCACGAGTTTAATTAAACTTCTTCTTGGGCATTAAATAACAATAAGGTTATACAAGAATATTTTGATAATTTCCTAAAGTCTTACAATCTTACGTGGAGTCTACTGTCATTTGGATTACCTTCTAACAGTTACTTTGTAGAAGATATTTCCATGTTAAATTTACAGATATTATTAATAATTAACATTAACTAACATCATCATCTAGCATTGGCATTACAAATGACAGTAATCCAAACTTCTCTCTGTTTCTTTCAAGGAGATTAAAATCTATTCTTAAACTCCCATATCGCTTCTCTTAAACAGAATGAATAAACCACATTACTTCTCTTCACTATCTGCTTCACTACGGGTGCAGTCGGGTTGCGCCGTTACGTTTCTTCCGTTGATGACTGTCCGTGTTCATATGACATGACACTAGCTCCTCACTGGGCACATGTTGGGCAAACGACGTTCATTCAACGTTGAATAAACGGTAGTAACGTTGATTTAATGCTGAGTCAACGTTGCTCGAGTATGTTTTGCTCATTGAGTTCAGACTTCATGACACATCACTGTCTAATGCCCAAATGCATGCAACTGCTGACAAGACAGACTAACACAACAGTAGCTCCACACTACCCAACACACCACCACAACACCAGCTCCACACTACCCAACACACCACCACAACACCAGCTCCACACTTCCCAACACACCACCACAACACCAGCTCCACACTTCCCAACACACCACCACAACACCAGCTCCACACTACCCAACACACCACCAGCTCCACACTACCCAACACACCACCACACCACCAGCTCCACACTACCCAACACACCACCAGCTCCACACTACCCAACACACCACCACACCACCAGCTCCACACTACCCAACACACCACCAGCTCCACACTACCCAACACACCACCACACCACCAGCTCCACACTACCCAACACACCACCAGCTCCACACTACCCATCACACCACCACACCACCAGCTCCACACTACCCATCACACCACCACACCACCAGCTCCACACTACCCACCACACCACCAGCTCCACACTACCCATCACACCACCACACCACCAGCTCCACACTACCCATCACACCACCACACCACCAGCTCCACACTACCCATCACACCACCACACCACCAGCTCCACACTACCCAACACACCACCACACCACCAGCTCCACACTACCCATCACACCACCACACCACCAGCTCCACACTACCCAACACACCACCAGCTCCACACTACCCATCACACCACCACACCACCAGCTCCACACTACCCAACACACCACCAGCTCCACACTACCCATCACACCACCACACCACCAGCTCCACACTACCCATCACACCACCACACCACCACACCACCAGCTCCACACTACCCATCACACCACCACACCACCAGCTCCACACTACCCATCACACCACCACACCACCAGCTCCACACTACCCAACACACCACCACACCACCAGCTCCACACTACCCATCACACCACCACACCACCAGCTCCACACTACCCAACACACCACCAGCTCCACACTACCCATCACACCACCACACCACCAGCTCCACACTACCCACCACACCACCACAACACCAGCTCCACACTACCCATCACACCACCACACCACCAGCTCCACACTACCCATCACACCACCACACCACCAGCTCCACACTACCCAACACACCACCACACCACCAGCTCCACACTACCCATCACACCACCACACCACCAGCTCCACACTACCCAACACACCACCAGCTCCACACTACCCATCACACCACCACACCACCAGCTCCACACTACCCACCACACCACCAGCTCCACACTACCCAACACACCACCACACCACCAGCTCCACACTACCCATCACACCACCACACCACCAGCTCCACACTACCCAACACACCACCAGCTCCACACTACCCATCACACCACCACACCACCAGCTCCACACTACCCACCACACCACCACAACACCAGCTCCACACTACCCATCACACCACCACACCACCAGCTCCACACTACCCAACACACCACCACACCACCAGCTCCACACTACCCAACACACCACCACAACACCAGCTCCACACTACCTATAATTTCCTCCAGACGCTCCTGCACCATAAAGTTGGTGTTACCTTCCGTTTTCTATCCCAACAAAAAATATTCTTCATAATCTATCCATATCTCCTTATGTTATCTCTCTGTGATGTTATAGTTGAATTTCTTTGTTAGGAATGAGACCAAATTGACAAAAATTATGCCATCACATGACGAAGATATTGTAGACTGGCTGTTTAAAGCCTTAAACCACGTCCTTGCTATGGCAGGTCACTGAAGTATCGACGCTGGCCGGTTTAGCGGGCTTGGCCGGTCTAGCGGGCTTGGCTGGTCTGGCGGGATTAGTCTTCGTGCTTGCTCCAATTATTGCGCCTGCAATAGCCATTCCTCTGGGCGTTGCGATTCCTTTAGGCATAGCCGGCGGCGGAGGAGGAGGAGGAGGCGGAGGAGGAGGAGGTGACGGAGGCGACGAAGATTTTATATTTGTATCAGCACCTGCACCCGTACCATTTGGAGGGGGAGGTGGGTTTGAAGATCCATTTTTAGGTGGAGGGGGAGGTGGGTTTGGAGTACCATTTGTAGGTGGAGGAGGTGGTGGGGTTGAAGATCCATTTGTAGGTGGAGGAGGAGGTGGGTTTGGAGTACCATTTGTAGGTGGAGGAGGAGGAGGAGGTGGTGGGGTTGGAGCACCATTTGTAGGTGGAGGGGGAGGTGGGTTTGGAGCACCATTTGTAGGTGGAGGGGGAGGTGGTGACCCATATTTGGATGGTGGAGCAGCTAGTGGTGTGGGCGCTTATGAAATTGCTGGAAGTGGACACCCGTTCAGAACACCCGGAGGAACTGGAGCTGGTGGCGCATATGGAAAAGAATCGTACAAGAAAGTAGACAATCCCGCTGGACAGCCTAGCCTAGAGGGCCAGGCCTACTCCTACGACCATTCCCGTCTCGAGGAAAGGTGCGTTATAGTCCTATCCCGCCCCATTCCATCTATCCTTTAACCTCCTGGAAATAAGGACCACGTTCCAGTCCCACTTACCCATTCCCTTACCTACCCTTACCCTTACCCCACCTTCTAATCTTCTCTATCATCTATTCGTTTCAGTCCCATTCTCTCTATTCTCTATTCACCTTTGGTTTTACCTTCTCTGGATATGGAGCTATTTCATTATCATATTTAATTTAATTTATTTTTCTCAGTTTGATATTTTGAATCACATTCTGTATGACGTTTTCTTCTTGTGCAAAATCATTTAATTATTTTCATTCTCAGCAATAATCTCATGTGAGTCAATATTCTTGAATAGAGCGTTCCTATATTCAGCTCTAGTTAGTACTGCATTTCATTCTCTAAACTGACTTTCACTGTCCCAGTACTGGTACACTAAATTCTGTTATTCACGTAACTTATTTTTCTGATTTTATCCGTAATCCTACTTTTGCTGATCTTCTTATCCCTAATCCTGCTATTTTTGATCCTGTTATTCCCCCGAACCTGGTATTCCTTCATCCTTGTATTTTTCCCCATCGTTTTCCCCACAGTACGTAGGCTTTGCGCACAGTAAAATGTCATAGGGAGTTGCTTGTAATCGTGGCGTCGTGTCTGTGTTGTGTTTTGCCTTGTTTGGAAATAGGTTTCTTGACGGCGATGAGATCAACAGATTCCCCTCATAACGCAACAGTAACAACGGGGGGGATGAGTTGATCACATTGGCTCTGCAACGCCTATTTTTCAACATTCACTTATTGCTTCGATTTGTAAATATGCTATGTGCGTCCGCTCGATTGTCTGTCTGTCCGTCTGTATGTCTGTCTGTCTCTCTGTTTGTCTTTAGTGTCCTTAATCGTGTTGTTAACTGTGTGTGTAGCTGTTTGTCCGTCTAAGTATTTGCTTGGCCTTCACTTCTTGTATGGTAATTTATGTCGGTTTTATCTAGTAATTAACTCTAGCCATTTGGCTCTAATAACCCATCGTTGTACGTTATATATCGTTCTAGCTGTCTTATCTATCGTTCTACTTATCTTTATATATCGTTATACCTATCTTATCTCCCATTCTGCATATTGCATCTATCGTTCTACATGTTTAATCCATCGATGTGCTTTCTGTCACTCAACATTCTTTCTTTTTATGCTTAGATTTACTTTACTTCGTTTTCTTTAACCTGTTCTGTCTAATACTCTAACAATCTTTCCGTTACTCTGACATGTTCTCTTTTCAACCTCTGACTATATGTTCATATACTGACTATATGTTCATATACTGACTATATGTTCATATACTGACTATATGTTCATATACTGACTATATGTTCATATACTGACTATATGTTCATATACTAACTATATGTTCATATACTTATTTCCATTTATTGCACAACTTTTAATGCCGCTTCTTGCACCTCCTATTTCTCCTGCGTCTCATTCTGTTTCTAATCCTTTTCATTTTTCGTGTTCTTCGTAATTTACTTTTTCCTTTCTTTCAATCATTCATTTGTTTATTTTCATGGCATATATTCTGACTTATTCTTCAACTTTTGTTCCTAGTCCTTCAGCACCTCCTACTTTTTCCTCATCTTTCTATTCCTCTTTTTTTATTTTTACTGTACTTGGATCGTCTCGTATCACAAGGGGTCGTAGAGGTTCTTATGTAACAAGGCAAGTAGGACTCATCACTCCGGCCTAGAGGACTGGACTCTACTAACTCCTGCGTCCACTCCCCCCCATCCACGACCATCTGCGACCAATATTTAATATACCAATGTAACACTGACCGCCGAGTTCTTCGGGGTCTGGCTGCCTCCTCACTATTATGACTCCCATAACAGTGTGGGAGCTTTCTGACTTTTTACATCTGACTGCGATATCTGTTTGGGTACTACCGGTCTGTTTATCTACCCGACTGTCGTTGACTGTGATATTACACTCGAGACTGACGACACTTATGACTGATTATAAGATGTATTTCTGTGTAATACGTCCAGTTAAACTGGAAGATTAGACGGTGCACCGCCGTCTAGAATGAGTGTATACTCCAAGGCATCCATACTTCTGTCTTACTGCCCTAGCTGTCAATTAAGCATCGATTACTGTACATAAATTATCTTGTTCATTGCTTCATATAACTATGTGGCCGGACAGTTAACTTTTACATTTTTTAATGACTGACAGCATTCAGAAATGAACGAAGGTGACTCGGACTATCAATTGACTATTGACTTTATGCAAAAACTGACTGATTGTGAACTAGAGCTAGTTATTTCAAGGACCTGAAAAACACATATAAATATATGACTGCTCCACTTGATTTTCTGTGTCATAATAATTCTCTGTCATGCAACTAACCGAACACAATGCACACCCACATACTTTAACTAACACTATAACTATAATGTGATAGACTGTGGTCATAATTCACATTTTAACAGTGACAATACCCTCATCTACGATTCGCCTAATGGGAATTACATTAATGTGTTAAATTCTCGCTCTTACATATTTCTGTTATCATTTCTGTCATTAAACAGAAATCTTATTTCTGTTTAAAGATGATAACTTTTAGTTTTTAGCTCCAAGCGGTGATCACTTAGCTTTAACAACAAAAATTATTATTAACATCACATGGTTTAATCCTCCTAATGCTAAAGGACTTTACAAAATTAATTAGAGATTTCAATACAAGCATCATAAGAATAGGGACAATCTCATGTGTGAACCTTGAGACGTATGGATGTAATATACATCCTCCCATTTTTCCAATACATTTTGTCTTATTGATAATACTTTGAAACAAGCTAAAATATATTTTATGATCCTGTCATGATAGAGGTATTCAGATACTAATTACTGAGCCTTCCATCTAGAAATTAATCTTTCTAAATAACTGGTTTTTCGTCTCGTCCGACTCATAATTAATAGACAAAGTACAAACGTCCAGAGAATATCGCGTTTAATATTAACAAATATATCCCCTAAGATTGATTAACCATCCATTGGCATTTAAATTTCCTGATAAACGAGTGATCACTAAAAGTCATCATTAAAATGCATTTAGTAAGAAATTTCTCTAAGACAATTACACCTTTCTCACTGCGAGTGTGAGTAAACAACAGTTTTATTTCCTTATTAATAGAATCCTCTCATAACACCTCTCGTCGAATTACGAACCAAACATCAAGTTTTGTAAATATTGTAAAAAAAACTAATGCATTCCTTTCCTCCTTACAGGTTTAATAGAAAAATGACTTCATGTTAAATAACCTTTTCTTGTATTCTAGTTCCACTGACCTTGCAATGTAAATTTAACCTCTGTCCATGTAAGCATATTAATGTCCGTGACAACTGCCTCGCCAAAACATCATCCATCCAAAGTTTTTGTACTTTGAATGTTAATAAATATGCACTTGTAAATAGCAAACCCTCTAACGTGTAAATTTGCATTTAGGTGTTTGTATAAATAACCAATGTTGACTGTGTGAAACTTATATATATATATTAATTATAGACTGTAACATTTCTTTATATTTTGTTTTTAGTATCATATATTAGATGTATGTAAAGTGTATGAGTGTATAGGAGAGATACTGGCGATACTAGGGTACAAACGTATGTATTACATGAACATGCAGAAACACACACACACACACACACACACACACTCAGCTGGGGACGATTGTGAAGGAATCCTTCCTCCATCACTTACCACGTCAGCTATTGGTATTATGCTCTGTGTTTACGACCCTCCTACAGTCTCTCCAGCCCCCAGGCTTCACGGTAGTAGAACACGAGCCAAACACCTGGCCTGAGACTCATCAAACATTAAAGGGATCCACTAACGAAACCTATGCATCTTTCAATAATCATAGCGGCTATGTATATATTTTTTAAACAGCTAATGAGATCCAAAACTTCACAATCCAAGGTTATCACTGTTATAAACAGCCTCGTAGGGCATCAGAACTCATTAACTGTTTAATGTAAACAAACCCGTCAGGAGTGTAGTAAGATGCACATGTTTCTAAGTGGATGCTTAAATGTTTAATCAATCCCAGTCCTGGTGTTTAGCTTCTGTTTTGCTACCATGAACCATGTGGCAGGAGAGACTCCCATCACCATGGGCTCGTGTGCTTTGTTTAACGTAGCCTGCATAGGAGAAAATTGTATAGATAAATATTAAATATAATGTAATAGAAACATTTAGTGTATAGCCAGTATCGTGTGTGTTTCTTTGTATGTCGTTAATTTCAGGCAGAACTGACAAACAAAGAGCATTTGATTTGTTTTGATTTTATAATGATATAAATAAATATAGTCATATCAATCTATATACAATATAAAGTGTTCAGTGAGGATCCACAAGGTCTTCTCTGAGTACTCTTTATTTTCATCTCCGAGGCTATGGGTCCCTACACTTGCACCAGAGGTTGTACCCCTTCTAGGTTTAAAATATAGATGTCTGAACTTTAAAATAGTTGAACTTGCTTACTTAACAAACTTAACCTCAATCAAATTGACATAATCAACAATTTGTTTTCGTCCTGCATAACTTTTATAAATTATGAATATGTTAAATAGTAATTCAGATTGTCAATTATTTTGTAATGTTCACGTCAATTTATAAAGTTTTTCCAAATAAAATTATATAATTTTCTTTTTGCCAAGTCTCGATTCTTGTCAACTAGATTAAGTTGGGCGGTTCTGGCTGAAAATCAAGACATATATTTATGTATATATATATGAGAGAGAGAGAGAGAGAGAGAGAAGGGCAGAGAGAAGCCTTTGAATCTATATTTACTTTCAAGTTTTCTTTTGCAGTAATTCCTACGTTTCATATGGCGACAACGATGCCTACAAGCAGTACTCACAACACAAGTCCACGTAGAGAAGCACTTCCACAAGCCTCAATTCGGTGCCAAGAAAAAATTGCACAATTCACTCTATAGAGAAATCTTTTGCGAGGCTCCAGCTGGTCCTGGCCTTCCAATTGATGTTTAGCTAATTTATGTACTTTATAAATTATCATTCTTTTCGAAGGATGTAACAATACCTTTTTTTTTTGTTCATCATATTGACGACTGCGTTACCGGATCGGTGACTCTGCCCGTCTACACATTATGTAAAAAAAACATTTTGTTTTCAATTCCATAAAACTCAATATTGAAATCAGTTTTTCTAGTTAATATCCCACATTGTCTCTAGATTAATTCACTGTTTATATTAAACCCAAAACATTTATTCATTGTTACCCCATTATCTTGCCGTCCCATGGTAACTGTGAGTGGCTAGATTCTTCTTCCAATCCACTTGGAATGAGCTCTACCTCAGTCTCCACCCTCCACACTCACTGACAAATATTCAGGTCTAAGTCACTGTTTTCTTGACAGTGACTGAAAAAGGACTGCTGTAGCTTGTTGTTGCCACGACATGGTGAGAGATTCTGTCTCTCTCACCTCTTTTTCTTACCTCATTAATGCTGTTTGAGCCAAATTTGTTGTTGAGGGGCTTGAAGACTGCTGCTCTTCAAAAAAGTGCCTAATTTTTCTATAACTTTTAAGAAATTAGACTTTAGTCATTTTGACACAAGACTGATAATTTCAAGTCTATTTCTATACACGCACACACACACACATTATATATAATATATATATATATATATATATATATATATATATATATATATATATATATATATATATATATATATATAATATATATACATTATATATATCAGAACTCGACTCTGAGACTTTCTAAAACGGGTGACTATTTCTTCACATGACTAAAAACGAGACCAAAGACATTAAAGTTAATTTAAATAGTTATGATACTCTCTGACCTGGCGCACTCATACATCTGCTACAATTCTCAGAACGTAGTTTTCTTCAATAATATGTGAGCCTTTAATCAAATCAACATTTTTGCTGCCATCAAAACTTCGTTCAACAAATACACTGTTGAACATCTGAAGAAAGGTGTAAACATAGTTTTTTTATTTTGTTTAATGAATATTTGGCCATTTAAATCCTGAATTCTTAAGTGCATTACATTGCAATTTCAATAGCTATGCCCTCAGAGACACAAACTGTATACCTGGTAATATCAACATCATGTTTAGTTATAATCTATACTAAACTATAATATAGTATGGTATAGACTATAGTGCGCGTATAACAGGCTCACACACACACACACAAAATTTTTTTACTAATCATATATTGTTATTATTTATTCATATATTTATTTCCTGTAACTACCTTAAAATCATCAGGATTAAAGCTCTGGGTTCCTAACTTTATCCTACTCTCCCTTGAGTGGACGAGCGACGCCGTTACTGTTATTGATGTATATATCAAGTAGACTTTTACAATAAACATTTATTTGTTCTCGTGTGTGATTTATTTGCTTATGGCTAACCTTATGTTTATCGTTTTATTGGACTGGGAATTTTTTTTAATATAGAAAATCTGTAAATAGAGATTACAAAATTATATCTGTTGAAAACTGTTTTTCTCTGGGAAAGTTTTGTGGCACAGTTACTTTGAGGAATTTTGTAGAAGATAGTTTGTTACAAAGCAAAGCCTTGTGGCATAGACTTGTGTCACAGTCTTGTGGCACAGTCTTTGGACACAATCTTATGACACAGTTTTGAGACAGTCTTTTAGCATAGTCTTGAAGTGTAATCTTGCGGCACAGTCTTCTGGCATAATCTTGTGTCACAAACTTGTGGTATAGTTGTGTGACACAGTCTCGTGGCCCAGTATTGCTGCACAGTGTTGTGGAACAGCCTTGAGGCATAGTATTGGAGCAGTGTTGCCACAGTCTTCTGGTATAACATTCTATTGAAGTATTGTGTGTGTGTGTGTGTGTGTGTGTGTGTGTGTGTGTGTATGTGTGTGTGTACTCACCTAGTTGTGCTTGAGGTCCGGGTTCGAGTTCGATCCACGGCGATGGCGGAAAACAGATGGGCAGAGTTTCTTTCACCCTGATGCCCCTGTTACCTAGCAGCATATAGGTACTTGGGAGTTAGACAGCTGTTACGGGCTGCTTCCTGGGTGTGTGTGTGTGTGTGTGTGTGTGGAAAAAAAAAGTTGATTGATTGACAGTTGAGAGACGGGCCGAAAAAGTCAGGTTCAATCCTCTCAAGCACGACTAGATGAATACAACTAGGTGAATAACCACACACATACACACGCACACAAATACACACAATACAAAAGTTTCAAGTAAAATGAAAACAATATATACAAAATATAATTAAACGTAACAAAATAAAAGGAACTTAACAACGATCTCAGAGAAGCCAAACTAGTGATCGAGCAAAGTCGCCAGAGGGCTGCCGAGCGGTGTGGACGTGTCGTTTGCCCGCTCCGGCAGTTTTGGGGTGGTTGCCGTTTTCGCCGGCAGGGGGTGTGGGTGTCTCTACCCTCCCTGCTGTTCCTGGTGGTGGTGTTTACGATGGGCGGCCCTATTCCAGCTGTCGTAAGGATCAACTCCATAGGATGGGAGTTTACTGGCCATGCTGGTTATTCGATGGTGGACGAATGACATGTCTTGAATGACATGCTCCCAGTCCCGGTCCAGGATATATATGGTGTCGAGCTGGTCACTGCTCGCCGTGTCATCATCAAGTTTGTGGGTGAGGCGGTGTACCGTGCTTTTCTCCGGAAGTACGAGGGGCGTACTTTGCAGCTGCAGGATGGCGCCGGGTCTGTGACCATTTCGGACCGTAGTGGAGCTGTGACTTATGTAAGTGTCCATGGCACCCCCATGGAGTTTCCTGAGACTCTCCTCCGGCGTTTCTTCCAGAGGTACGGCTCCGTCGTCAGTGTGCGGATGAACTCGCTATCATCTGGCACGTATTCAGGTGTGAAGACCAACATTCGGACCCTCGGGATGCGCCTGAGGTCGGACATTCCGTCATTTGTCCGGCTGTTAGGGTACAACGTGCGGGTGTTTTATGCACGTCAACCCCGTACTTGTTTCCGGTGTGGTTTGTTGGGGCATCAGGCTGCCGGGTGTACTGCTGATCCGGTCGTTCCAGTGAATTTGTTCCGTGACGAGGATTTCCCGCCGCTCCCTCTGGAGGAGGACTCCGGGGGAGAGGAGTTGAGCCTCCCGTTCGCTGCTGAGGCTTCCCCGGCGTCGCCCGACGTTCCCCCGGTAGTCGCAGACCCTCCTCCGGATGTTGCGGTGCCGTCGGATGTTCCTCCTGACCGTGTCTCTGATCCTGCCGCTCCCGTGGACCTTCCTGGTACTCCCTGTGAGGCGTCGCCGTCAGCTTCCTCGTCTTCGGCTGCGGAGCCTGGCCCTGCGTCCTCCCCTCGGGTCCCTACTGTGTTGGGTGCTGGGGTGGCTGCGGAGCCTCCTGCTGTGTGTGGTCCGGTTCCCCCTGTGGTAGAGGCTGCTGCCGTTCTGCGTCGGGCGTCGGTTCGCCCGGCTAGTGGTGCCCGTGCTTCTTGATCCGCTTCCGGCTCTGACAATATCCGGCCGGAGCCCAAACGTTCCAGGTGTTCGTCTACGGCCTGGGCTGATGTTGGGGACTTCAGTGACTGTGGGTCCTCAAGTGTTGATGGCGTGGATCCGGTTGAGTCGTTGTCTCCGCGGTTGGTGGTGGCGGAGGTTCATGTGCCTGCTGGTGCTGATGCCCGTGTCTCGGGTGTGTCACCTGTTCCTTCCCCGCCCGGGGGCTCTCCGCAGTGGGGTGTGGTGGCTTCCGCTGCCAGGGATGGTGAGGATGCTGGTGCTGGGCGTGACCTGGTGGTGACTTTCCGTAAGGATCCGCGCCGCCCTGATTCCCTGCAGTCGTCTGGTGGTGTAACCTATAATAGGTATAGGTTAAGTAATAATTGTAATTACGAAGCAATAAGATGCTTATCTTAAGATACTAACAAGGTTAGGTAAGGTCGGTGTTTTCTATGAATCTTTTTAAGGGTATCTATTATGTTTAGTATATCACCTATGCACGTAGTTAATAAGTCAATATTGACTTTACGAATTTGCGGGAACGGGTTGGGCTGCTGGTACCCCTGTGGTGGTGCCCTCTGTCGGGCCCCCTCCTGTGGTGTTGTGCCTTGAGGACCTGGAGGCCCGGGTTGCCGAGTTCTTGCTGCTTGAACGGCCGGAGGATTTTTCTTATCAGCGGGATCCAGGTGTATGGGATAGGGTGGCGGTAACTCGCGTCCGGAGGGACACCATATGGGTTCCATGTCTGCGGGTGTTTGTTGACGAGGTTCCGGTTCACATGGCGCCCCCGGTGTTGGGTCAAGCCTCTTGGGACAGGTGGCTGCTTTGGGAGGCGTTCAATGTGCAGTTCCCACGGGACATGTTCCCAGGCAAATATGTACGCTGATTTCATGTTACTCTAGTTTTTGTTTTTGTTGTTATTCCTAGCTTGTTGTGCGCTGTGCGATTGTCTTGTTCTGTTTCATGATGTCCTCTTTGTTGTGTTTTGTTCTCGGTCCTTCAGGCCGGTGTGTGTATGTTGTTGTGTATGTACCTATGTTGGTTTTCTGGTTTGCTTGTTTATTATTATTGTTTCTTTTGGCCTCGCCCTTTGTTTGTTGTGGGGCAGATGGTTTGGTGTGAGTGTTTTTATTCCTATCTTGTTTCTGTGCTGTACGTTTGCACTGGTGTTTTCATATTGCTTTACCTGTTGTACTTGTTTGTTATTTTTGTTTTGTTTGTTGTGTATTGTGATTGTCCTGTTATGTTTCCTGTTATGTTGACCAGACCACACACTAGAAATTGAAGAGACGACGACGTTTCGGTCCGTCCTGGACCATTCTCAAGTCGATTGTGTTATGCCTCTTGTTGTATGTTTTGTTTTATGAAGTTTTGTTTTGAGATGTTACTGTGCTTGCTTGTTTGCGATTGTATTATATTTTGTGTCTTGATGTATGGTGTATTTTTCTATGCATTTATCGTGTTTGTGTTTTGTTGTACTGTGCTGTCGGCCTTTCTGGCCGGTGGTCTATTGTTTTGTTTTGTTCTGTTATGTTTTCTGTGTTGTTTTTATTGTATTTATATTGCATGCTTTGCATGTAAAAATAAAAAAAAACTAGGTGAATAACCACACCCATACACACAATAAAAAAGTTTCAAGTAAAATGAAAACAATATGTACAAAATATAATTAAACGTAACAAAATAAAAGGAACTTAATAACGATCTCAGAGAAGCCAAACTAGTGATCGAGCAGTTGAGTTAAAGGTTCAGAGTTGTTCAACGTGGGTTACATCTTGACAATGGGGACTGACTGGAACTCAGTACAGTGCTATTGGTCTGCGTGAGAGGTTGGCCCATTGCTTCAGGAGGACCCTAACAGCAGAAGACTCGACTTACATAAGACGCAAACCAGCAAGGTAAGAGGTTCCCGAATTACACATGTCGTAGCCCATACTATATATTTACTATATGTCGTAGCTCAGTTGATTAAGGCAGCGTCTCGGACGTAGGTTCGAATCCTCGTCACGGCTCTTGTGGATTTATATAGGTTCCCGTATATTCCTACCCAAACACAACACAAGATGCTAGATCACAAAGACAAATAACGTTTTAAATGGCTTCCATTATTATCATTATTATTATTGGTTAGCACGAAGTGAAATTGTGAATAGGAACGTTTGATTTGATTTCGAAGTTATTATTTTCCGAATATGACAGTTTACGGTAAACAAATCAAGATATTGTATGTGTTGATAATCTTTAGTGACTGGTGTTTTAGCAATAGGTAAAACTTTTGCGTGTGAGATTTTCCTTAAAATCCTGTGAAATATTGTGCAGGCGCATTAGATACAAAACACTCGGCAAGAAATTAATTTCATCATAATTAATGAATCATGATATGCTGTTTTTAAATTCAATTGAATATCCTAAATAATTAAGTTTAAATGTTTAAAATTCAAAAGCGAACATGTATGTACATATCCCAATGTGCATGAATATCCACGTACGAAAATGAAACGAGAATTCCGAACGTTTTCGGGTTTGAACACAGTCAGGGAAAACATACCGAAGATTGAGACCCAAGAGGTGGCACGGGCATGAATAGCCCGTAACAGAGAGATATTGTTGTTGCTTTAGATTGAACTACCCGGAACAAAAGTTCCAAGTAGCAAGGGCTATGGTGATCCCCGTAGTGGACGTACCTGGCACAGAAGCGGGGCTGTAACTTAGAGAGACAGAAGAGTGATTGAGTAATGAAGATTAAGCCACCCAAGAGGTGGCACGGGCATGAATAGCCCGTAGGTGGTTGTTTTTTTAGAGTTAATAAAATCTTTGGTCGTGAAAAACAGAAGACTTGGGGTTTGGGATTATACACCTCAGTAGATCCCATTGTGAGTGATCACAAATCACTGTAAAATAATGATATACGTATCTTGGAATCTATCCACATCGTCAAAATAATTGATTGAATACAGCAACTCCGAGTACTTTTATTAGATTTTTCACTCGCAAGCATATTCTAGATTTTTTATTTTGTATTTCGAACATATTTTTCAATTTTACCTTTTGTATATTTTGATTAGGTTTGTATTGTTTTAGCATTGTTATTGATATTGATTTTATTCAAACTTTGAACTTTTTTCGATGATTTTTAGTTAAAGTGGTTGACTGTGGTTCTATTTTTTTAACACAAGTGATGGAGTATTATCTCCGAAACATTTGCTTTTAAAAATATATTGAAGTTATCTCTCTCTCTCTCTCTCTCGCTCTCTCTGAATATATATGTATATATTTATATACAACAACGATCAAGAAACACTGATCATAGATGTGCGGAAAAGCCATATTGAATTGGGAAGGGATCAGTAACGTTTTCGACAGTTCAAGTCGTCAGCAGTATCTAGACTGATGAATACTTGAACAGTCGTAAACGTTACTGCACCTTTCCCAATTCAATGTGATTTTCTGCGCGCGCGCGCGCGCGCGCGCACACACACACACACACACACACACACACACACACACACACACACACACACACACACACATATATATATATATATATATATATATATATATATATATATTAAGATTCTCTTGTTTAGCAACTCATTTCTTGTTGAATCAGCAAGGTATTAACATATTTATTAATTACGGATATAAAAGAATTTACCAGAGAAGGTAACCTAGTCCGCCTTCTCTCTCTCTCTCTCTCGAACAAAAACATTCATCGATAAAAATGCAAACATTACCTCACCTGAAAACCACTAAAGCAGAGAATAAACTAGTAAGAAAATAAACCCCTTAACTCAATCAGATTTTTCTCATGAGGACAAAACTGCCCTCAGAAAGAAGTCTTTTATAATAACTGTGGAAAACATTATTAAAGTTCTTGTTGTCAGTAATATATACAAACCGCTTCTGATTGTGACATTCTCAGTAGATTTCGTGGGTAATTATCTCATAACCTTTCACTGACACAGCAATATAGAAGTGCTTCACCCGCCTGTGGCTCAGTGCTCAATAACCCAATTTTCTATATTTAGTAGAAAAAGACATCTAACCCTGTCTGTGTAAGACAGAAATGTGTATGTATCCTGATTAGTAATATAAAGCACATCAATCACCTTCTGTGGTTGAGTGCTCAATAATTCACTACATTTTGTGTTGTCAAACATTCTCTAACCGTGTCTATTAAGGACAGAAGATGATGCATATATGATGGTTACTATTGTATAAATGAATGGACACGTCTGTGGTGGAAACAAATACATATAACAAATTTTAAGAGTAAAACTATATTTATTTGGCTATCCTCATATCTTGAAATATAGAAACATTTAATATGAGTTTATCAAGGCGAAACAAAATCACATTTTCATTGTCGTATGTGTCTTTATTAAATGTTTGATATCATGGCGAGAATGTATATTGAAAACATTTTAGGTTGGCAGGTATCCAGAGGTTATTCTCAAACAGTAAACAATAAAGTAACATCAGGAAATTATGGAAAACTGGGGACTTATGCCATTTTCCCTACGCTCACCTTGCTAACGCCACATTGATATAATTCATCTAAGATTATGCGTGAGTCTAAATGGTTAACTGATATTTTAAGGCAAAACAGGAGGCACACTCTCACTAGATCCCATACAGATGACTGGTTATTAAACATATATGCCTCGAGGATGAAATTGTGGAACACCTCAAGTGTTATGATAGTGAATATAATGGCACCCTACACTTGCCTATAGCAGGACTCTGATGCACTTATTTAGTGAACACTTATCATAATTTAGACCTCTGTAGTGCCAAGATCTGTAACTAATTTAACAAAATAATTTAAATGTAATGGGTGAATTTGTAAATGAATGAAAACACCTTAGATGCGAAGCTGTATGTCAACGACATCTAATAAGACAACCTCAGATAATCGGTCGTGTCCCCATTATCTAGGTCTTGTTCAAACTCCTTGCGTTTTAACAGCATCTGAGATGGAGATTCCTCTTCCGCGGAGGAGGGCTCCTGAGTGCCTGAACTACCATTAGTCCTGACCAATAGACGCACTGGATGGTTCTTGGGAATTGCTTGAGTGTTTACAATGTCGTGGCCTCCACTTGAGGATTCTAGACGGGCTCCTTCCACTGGGACACTCCCGTGAGTCTCTCGGGCCATCCGTACGAGGTCAGAAAGGCTGAAGTAGTGAGGTTCCTCAAGGCGAGCATCCTCCAGCGAGGGGTCCACTTCTTCAGGAACACTGTTGTGGTCTCTGAAGGGAGAAGTAAACGGTCACTTGAAAATATTAACGAAGAAGGCCTACTCACAAGCCAGATCACTGGTTAATATATTTCTTAGAATTAAAATTCACCTCAAAATTGCTTAATGTCGAAAATAATTTTTATAAAACAATTTACTTTGTAATTTCACTACAGTTTCAAAATATGCTGAGCATTCTCCATATGGACTAAGAGTTTTTAAGTCTGTGTTTTTTACTGTATAGACTTGTAAGTTAAAGAAAAGTTATAAATAAGAACAGACTTCAGACTAAGAAGTGAATCACCATACAAGGAAGATAAGATCATTAAAATGTAAATAGATTAGGATAGCACATTGGGATTACAAAGACACGACGCTAGTATTGTCCCTTTCAACTATCTACATCATCAGCAGTAACCACAATGTCTATTTCCACTCCTCTCCATCATGCCTTCACCCGCTCCCGTTAAAATCATACCTCTCCACGTTCCGTCTCCTCCACCATTTATCACTAACATGTGCCTCTTCCTCCCTTCCATCCTTCCTCTTCCCTTACACCACTAAATGCTTCACACAACAGCCTTATATTCACAAACGTTTTGCCCTGCTTCTCCTCTCTTTTTCCCTCCGTTTATCTCCCCCTCTCTGCCCTCCACCTGTACTATCTACCTCTCCCCTCTCTCTTCCCTTCTTCCTCCCCACCTCTCTCTCCTCTCCCTCCCACTTACGCATACTTGAGTAGATTGGCACAGTGACGATGGAAAGGAGGTAGAGAGGAGTGTTGGTGGGTGCTGGAGGGTGTTGGTGGGTGCTGGAGGGTGTTGGTGGGTGCTGGAGGGTGTTGGTGGGTGCTGGAGGGTGTTGGTGGGTGCTGGAGGGTGTTAGTGGGTGCTGGAGGGTGCTGGTGGGTGCTGGAAGGTGTTGGTGGGTGCTGGAGGGTGTTGGTGGGTGCTGGAAGGTGTTGGTGGGTGCTGGAGGGTGTTAGTGGGTGCTGGAGGGTGCTGGTGGGTGCTGGAAGGTGTTGGTGGGTGCTGGAGGGTGTTGGTGGGTGCTGGAGGGAGTTAGTGGGTGCTGGAGGGTGTTTGTGGTTGCTGGAAGGTGTTGGTGGGTGCTGGAAGGTGTTAGTGGGTGCTGGAGGGTGTTGGTGGGTGCTGGAGGGTGATGGTGGGTGCTGGAGGGTGTTGGTGGGTGCTGGAAGGTGTTGGTGGGTGCTGGAAGGTGTTGGTGGGTGCTGGAGGGTGTTGGTGGGTGCTGGTGGGTGTTGGTGGGTGCTGGAAGGTGTTGGTGGGTGCTGGTGGGTGTTGGTGGGTGCTGGTGGGTGTTGGTGGGTGCTGGCGGGGCAATGAGAGACACTCCAGAAAAATTCCAGACTGCTAAGAGGAAGCACCGCTCGGTGACAGTAACTAACCTAGCTGAGCGCTTGGCAGTGAAGAGGGTGAAGGAACAGCGACATCCGCCAACCATGCCGTTGTACCCTGTGGTCCGACAGAACATCTGACAGTCGAAACGTTTGGCGGTAGACAGAGAGGGGCTGGCCAGCAGGAGGAGCAGGGCTGCCGCCAAGACTGCTGTAGAGGGCATGGCCGGGGGGCACACCGAGGGACGCATTCTGAAGGAGCAACGAGAAGAATATAAGTGGAAAGTTAACACAAAAATACAGCGAGTCAATTGAATGCGGAATCATAACACAGGAATATAACAAGAATTAAGTTTACAGCTAACATCGGAAGGCCAATTGGCCCATACGATGTTGCTCCTATCTATATTCACCTGCAATTATTTATTTATATGTCTAAACTACGCTTGAAACAATTCAGTGACCTCCATGTCTACTATACCAGTACCCTATCAGAGGGGATCCTACATGTGAAGTAGAAGACCATCCTGGATGCTTCATTTTAATGCTTGAAATCTTGTCTGAATAATGAAACCTTCTTAATTTAACTAAAGAATTTAAACAGGAATAACCAAAGTACATAGAGGCAACACATGGTATGCTCTCTGGTCGATGTGTAACCTCTACCAATTAGGTAAAATAATAATATTTTGAAAAATTTGTGTTCGAAATAATAATATTTCATTTAGAAAATTAATGCATCTACCTTAATTAATAACAATGAAAATTATTTATTTAATTTTAATATTCAAATTTGTAGTGGAGTAAGAAATATACGCGCAAACACACACACACACACACACACACACATGATCACCACATTCAAGATTCTCAAGGGAATCGACAAGGTTGATAAAGACAGGCTATTTAAAACAAAGGGGCACACGCACTAGGGGACCCAGGTGGAAACTGAGCGCCCAAATGAGCCACAGAGATATTAGAAAGAATTTTTTTAGTGTCAGAGTAGTTGACAAATGGAATGCATTAGGAAGTGATGTGGTGGAGGCTGACTCCATACACAGTTTCAAGTGTAGATATGATAGAGCCCAATAGGCTCAGGAATCTGTACACCTGTTGATTGACGGTTGAGAGGCGGGACCAAAGAGCCAGAGCTCAACCCCTGCAAGCACAACTAGATGAGTACAACTAGGTGAGTACACACGCTTGCTTGCTTGCTCACCAACAAGAGCAGGAACAGGAAATGTTGCCAGTGTTGGACCAACAAGTAAAAATCCATCAATCTGCGAGGTGCTCAAGGACGACCAGCTCTTCCCCTGAAGGACGCCAGGGAGACTAACCCTTCAAGATGAAGGACACTTGAGGGATTAACCCTTTAAAATGAAGAGCGTGAGGGTGACAACCTTTTAAACTGAGTGGATTGAGGATAGTTAAGTCTTCAAAATGAGGGGCTCGAATGGCGCTAACCCTTCAAAATTAAGGGCACAGGCGGGGGCTGCCCTTGACCACAAGGTGGCGGGTGCAGCCCTATAGAATAGAGACCATAATTAGGATCAGCTGTACTCCGGAGCGGACGTTTGATCTACCCTATGGCCAAAAGTTAGTATTATTTACCATCATGGGATAACGAGACGGCTCGGGTCTCGGTAACTGTAGGAAAGAATGCCTCAGTCCTGTGGAATCTGACCAAGGTGAGGCTTACTTGCTGGGAGAGTGAGGGGTAAAGATTCACGTTTTGCCTCCAGTGAACAAGAAAGAATTTAGCCTGATAAGTAACCGGTTTAACATAATTCTTTGTTACAAAATTGAAAATAACATAAAGAGAGCAAAGAAAGCAAAAATGAGCCGTGTCTGCTGCCTCTTTTTATAACTTTTTGTTTTAAATGTTCTATTAATTTCACACCATGATCTTGTTCATGTAGTTAGGATGATTTTTGCTGAAGATTTAAGCTTCGTGTCAGGCACTGGACCCCAGGTAGGGTTTTCTCCAAGACATGATCCGATGACAAGCTAACGAACGTACCTGGGTGGTTATCCGATCGCTTTAAAATACAACATATAGCATCACACCTAATTCCTGCACCGCCTTCATCCTTCCATAAACAATGTAAATACTAGAGGGCATATATTCTTCACTGACGTTGTGAAACAATAACACAGAATGATTATATTACCAAACGATTTAAAGAATAAGATGAAATTATAAGTGGATAATAGGTAGTGGAGGGAAGAGGCGATTTCAAAGATGAGTTACAGACACTTGTGGAAGGCATACAAGAGGTAAACAAACAGTGAGTCCATGAATGCAAGGAAGGTTAAGGTGCTTGTATCTAAGGAGGTCAGTGATTGTGAAATGTGTCTTAACACACCCAGAGAGTCGTGAGCTAAGGTATATAAATAAATATCACTGCGATAACTAAGACGACAGTGACGGCGCCGCAAGTAGCTTAATCGTTTCGAAGTGTGTTCAGGAAAGGATTAGTAGCGAGAACGGTGATCTAATATATTCTGAAGTGAAATAGGGAAAGTTTGCAATGTGCCGGGCGCCTTGGTGCAATATATTTGACCATTTATATGAGTATTGTTGAAGGTATTTGATGATACGAGTACTGTTGAAAGAATTAGTGCTGGGGTTGATACGAGTACTGATGAGGGTACTAGCGTATTAGTACTGGTGATGATACGAGAACTGTTGAAGGAATTAGTGCTGGGGGTTGATACGAGTACTAATGAGGGTACTAGCGTATTAGTACTGGTGATGATACGAGAACTGTTGAAGGAATTAGTGCTGGGGGTTGATACGAGTACTAATGAGGGTACTAGCGTATTAGTACTGGTGATGATACGAGAACTGTTGAAGATACAAACACAATGTCTGGTAATATTAGTGGTTAATGATAAGGAGCACATCACGAGTATTGTGATGGATGCCAGTAACGAGGTGGCCGCGTCAATACCTGTCTTAGAAACGTGCGCCTAACAAAATTATTCATATGTAACTCTTAGAAACTGTGAAGAAAAAATCTCTGAAGCGGGATTGCGGGATCGAAGCTGTCTCCTGGGTCACCCCAGACGCACCTTACAAATAGTCGACGATGTGCTAATGGTTGCAGGATCGATTTCCCAACGCAACCCCCTCACCCCCCCCCCCTCACCCCATGGATAGTGTTACTGTGATTTTTCATTACGTATTTTACAAGCTGCAATACCCAAGCAAAGTTGTTTATGTTGTAAACAATACGAGGTGACAAAGAGCCCATCTTTATGAAAGGAAATTCTTTCGTGAGTAAACGGCTTTATATCCTGCCTGAGGGGCACCCACAGGTAAGAGAGGTGAGAAGTAGGGGAAGGAGAGGAAGGAACATTAAGAGGAGGAATAGTAAAAAAAGTGAGAGATAATAGTACATGAAGATAAGTTTATTTGTATGTAATTACCTAAGTGTAGTTACAGGATGAGAGCTATGCTCGTGGTGCCCTGTGTGCGTGTGTGTGCGTATGTCTGTATGTGTGTAGGTATATGTGTGTGTGTGTACTCACCTAGTTGTACTTGCGGGAGTTGAGCTTCGGCTCTTTGGTCCCGCCTCTCAACTGTCATTCAACTGATGTACAGATTCCTGAGCCTACTGGGCTCTATCATATCTACATTTGAAACTGTGTATGGAGTCAGCCTCCACCACATCATTGTCTAATTCATTCCACCTGTTAACTACTCTGACAATGAAAAAAGTTGTTTCTAACGTCCCTGTGGCTTATTTGGATAATCAGTTTCCACCTGTGTTCCCTTGTTCGTGTACCACCCTTGCAAGTATGTAGGTGTGTGTGTGTGGTTCGGGTGTGTGTGTGTGTGTGTGTGTGTGTGTGTGTGTGTGTGTGTGTGTGTGTGTGTGTGTGTGTGTGTGGTTCGGGTGTGTGTGTGTGTGTGTGGTTCGGGTGTGTGTGTGTGTGTGTGTGTGTGTGTGTGTGTGTGTGTGTGTGTGTGTGTGTGTGTGTGTGTGTGTGTGTGTGTGGTTCGGGTGTGTGTATAGGTGTAAGCAAGGTTGTGTATGTTTACGTACAACAATTCTATCAGCAGCAAGTACAAAACCAACAAAACTAAAACGACAACATTTCTTTAACGTTAAATATGAAAGAGTTTCAGCAATAAACTTTAGGCCAAGAGACTGGCAAAAGGGCCCTGTCCCCGGTCATTTCAGTACAGATGTGTCCCACACCTGTCCCTTGATGCTCATTCCCCGCCCTACTGTCCTGTCCGCCGTCGGGTCCCGGGTCTACCTGTCTCACCTCCTTGTGTTGCATCTCCTAGTTTACACATTCGCTTTTTATAGTGAAAATGAGACGTAAAGGAGAGTAACGGCCCCGTTTTGTGTGACAATGATGCCGTATCTCTCTCCAGCCCGTCTTCAACCTAGATACAGGTGTGTGAACATGACACAACGCTCATTTTGACTTATTCTCAGGATAGGAAAGAATATTTTTCTTTTTTACAAGGACGACGTAATTTTTTTTTTTTTTACCAACAGGAAACTAACAATACATATGCAGTATAACTAACGGAGAACTAATAATGAATGCGAGGCTGTACATTGCGCTATCTATGTCTGTCGGAAACCTTCCTTGTCAGAGTAAAACAATAGATCATTTACAACAATCAACCAAGACTCGAGTACTGTATCAGTTACAAGACGAGGGAATTCCGCCTCTTAAACATTTGTACACATGTTCGTTTTGAAGAATATATTCTTGGTCTGTGGGATTCTCAATACAGTTCGGCTTCCGGATCAAATGCCAAATTCTTGGCTGGGTATAGACTACAGGCCCCGCCACCACACACTGAATTCTCTAGTATATCATGGTACTTCCTAAGCACTTTATTAAACATTATTTAGTACGTAATATAGTGAAATATAAATGCGAATATAGAGGAGAGAGAGAGAGAGAGAGAGAGAGAGAGAGAGAGAGAGAGAGAGAGAGAGAGAGAGAGAGAGAGACAGACAGACAGACAGACAGACAGACAGACAGACAGACAGACAGACAGACAGACAGACAGACAGACAGACAGACAGACAGACAGACAGGGAGAGACAGAGAGATAGATATATAGAGAGAGAACACAAGATAATAACATTACATATTCATATCACCTCTCCTCAGCCTTACTACATCGCCTTTCCTGTTATGAAAATGTAATTTTAAATTCAGATATCAGCTGTAGCCCCCAGCCTAAACCCCTTACCTGTCTACCTCCTGCTCCCTAC